CGGCAGGCTCCTCTGTCTATGGAATTTTCCAGGCGAGAATACTGGAGCAGGTTGCCATTTCCTTCTCCTGGGGATCTTCTCAACACAGGGACTGAACCAGTGGTGGGTTCTTTACCAGCTGAGACACTAGGGACAGTTCTCTAGGAACAGAAGGGAACTTTCTTAATCTGATCAAGGACATCTACAAAAATTTACTGCTAACATAGTACTCAATAGTTAAAACTAAAACATTTCCCAGCCCTCCAAGCTCAGGAACAAAAGGTTATCTGTTAACAGCAATACTGAACTGGAGGTTCTACCTAAAACAACTAGCAAAGAAAAAAAAGGCATTCATATTGTAAAGGAAGAAATAAAACTATCGTGATTTGCAGATCACATGATATTATATGCATAAAATTAAAAAAAAAAAACTCCCCCTGCCTCCTGTTAAAAATAGAGCTAATAAATGATTCAGCAGGATGAAGGATACCATATCAATTTGCAAATCTCAATTATATACAGTTGTATACAACAGCATTGAGCAATCGAAACACTAAATTGAGAAAAACATTCTATTTACAGCAGCATCAAAAAAAGAATAAAATATTCAGGGATAAATTTAATAAAAATAGTACAAGACATACACTGAAAACTGTAAAACATCATTGAGGGAAAGTAAAGAATAACTAAGGCTTCCCTTGTGGCTCAGCTGGTAAAGAATTTGCCTGCAATGTGGGAGACCTGGGTTCAATCCCTGGGTAGGGGAGACCCCTGGAGAAGGGAAAGACTACCCACTCCAGTATTCTGGCCTGGAGAATTCCATGAACAAAGACATTCCATGTTCATCAATTGGAAAACTATAGTGTTAAGGTGATAATACTCTCAAAATTGATCTACAGTTTCAGTGAAATCCCTATTAAAATCCCATTGGGATTTTTCCCCAAAACTTGATAAAGCTGATTCTAGAATAACACAGAATTTCAAGGGACCCGAAGTAACCAACTCAATCTTGATAAAAGAGAAAACCTGCAGTATTCACACCTGATAATTTCAAAACTTACTACAAAGCAACAGAAATTAATACAGTATGTGTGGTACTGGCATAAAGACAGATGTAAAATCAAAGGAAAAAAATTTAGAGTCAATTAAAAACATACATCTATGGCAAACTGTTCTTCAACAAGGGCACCAAGACATTCAATAGAGAAAGAAAAGTTTCTTAAACAAATGGTGTTGGAACAAATGAATATCCACATGCAAGAGAATGAAATTTGACTTCTGCTGCATACCATATGCAAAAATCAATTCAAAATGGATCAAAGACCTAAATATAAGCACTAAAAATGTAAAATTCTTTTAAGGAAATGGAGGAATAACACTTTATGGCTGTTGATTAGGCAGTTATTTCTGATACATGACTCCAGAAGCACTAGTACCAAAGAAAAAGTAGAGATCAGATTTTATCGAAGTTTAAAATGTGTACTTTTTTTTTTTTCCATTTATTTTTATTAGTTGGAGGCTAATTACTTTACAGCATTGCAGTGGTTTTTGTCATACATTGAATTAGCCATGGATTTACATGTATTCCCCATCCCGGTCCCCCCTCCCACCTCCCTCTCCACCCTGCAGTGAGCGTTGTTGTTGTTTAGTTGTTCAGTCATGTCCTACTCTGGGGCAACCCCATGGACTGTAGCCCACCAGGATCCTCTGTCCATGGGATTTCCCAGGCAAGAATAATGGAGTGGGTTGCCATTTCCTTCTCCAGGGGATCTTTCTGATCCAGGAAAGGATCAAACCTGCTTCTCCTGCATGGGCAGGCGGATTCTTTACTGCGATACAGGCCTACAATGATATGTTATTACTGGTTTAGTTTATATACCTTTGATTACCATTGAGGATGGACGTATTTTTACATCTTTATTGATAATTTGCAGTTTTTACTTTTATGAATTATTCTTTGTCTGTTTTTTAACCTTGGAAAGTTATGAAAACTCGTTATGCATTAACCCTTTCCTAGCATTTAAATTTTTCTCCCCTCGTTTACTTTTTATTTTTTTGTGGTGTTTTTCTGAAAATTTTAAATGTTTGGAGAGTTAACCATTCATCTTTTC